TCTTGTAATTTCTTATAGACCTTGTAAAGTAACATGTGTATTGTATATACATTGTAAAGTAATTGTAAGGTTTGTAAATGAATTGTAACATTTAAATAAAACATATTAATGTATATAAAGACTACATAAGTACTAAGGATGAATAAAATCTATTACATGTATTATACTAACTTTGTATGATAACCTAAAGTATTATGCTTGTATTACATTTAAATTATAATCTTAAAAAAAGAGTTATATTTATAATATAATAATGTAATAATAACTATTGTTATCTTATTATTTATGCAAAAGGTATATTAATGTATATAATAGTGTAAGAGCACTTGTTGTATCCCTATTATCTTAATAAAAGTATACTATAAGTATATAATATGTACATTATACTTAGATTATCTTGGGCAACTGATACCTAACTTGCTTATGTAATCACTGGCTGAAGATCGAGAGCATATAATGACTAGGGCTTGGTACTGTATTGTATACAGATACAGGCCGTATAAAACGGACCATATACGGATACGGGACGTATAATACAGCACTGTATTTTTCAGCTCAAGATCCTATACGGATACAGACCATACGTATACGTTGCGTATACGTGTATTACGGATACAGCAGGTACATAAAAGGCAGAAGAACACTTATTTTGCATAGCAAAACAACATAAGACACTGTACAGTATACGAAATCATACACATAGATGCCTAACACATATTATTCAGTAACTATTTACTCTTTAGCCATTGCTTAACCAGCATAAGGCTGCTAATTGTTTCTGGCTGTAAACTTGCTTGGTGCAAGGCAATAGTATCACAACCACCAGAAAAAATTCGTTCAACCACAACTGCTGACCCTGTAACATCTGTAAGTATATTTATTGTATAGAGTAGTACAAACACACCTGGGATACAGTGAATATCATGGGTGAAGGAGGACAACCAAGGAAATTGAGCACAACAAGCTGACCACCACTTGACAGGCTTGCCAGCATCCCATGACCTTTCCTGCTTCATGTTGAAATATTCCAGGAGCTTGTCTGTCTGCTTGTAGCTATTGTCATCAACATACTGAGCCATAAAGGCAAATGGCTTTGCTTTCATCAGAGATAGTGCATTGTCACCATCATCCAAAACCTTAGGCTCTGGTCGAGTGTGTGTCTCTTGCATTGTAGGAGGTGGATACACTGCTGCAAACTGTTCTTCAAGTCCTGCTCGAGCTGATTCAATAAGATCAAGTAGTATAGTATCACTGCCTGCATCCTCTCTTAGCCTCGAGTAAGAAATACGTGGATCAAGTACTACATAGGATAATATTAGTGAATTAACTGTCAATTTTGAAAGAAGCGCTTACAAGCAGCCCAGAGATAGTACAGTGAAGTAGTGAACTTATACAAATATTCTGCAAGAACTCCATGGGCATTTTTCAGGCCCAACTTAAGTGACGTAGGAGTATCTGGCAGTAGTGTTTGTAAGAATTGACGTAGCTTATCCTGTAGTTCAATAAAGCATCCAAATGCTGAAGACAATGCTGAGTCCTTTGTCAAGGACATGAAAGTAGTCGCCTGGCAGAAATCACAAAGCCACATTATGATACACTGGATAAGCTTCCAGTCATCAAAATCTAGCTTAAGTGGATGAAGGTCTTCGTGCAGGAGGACAAAGCTTTGAATTGCTTGTCTATACACATAAGCACGATCTGGAAGGACGTGGGTGAGAGACTTCCAGCACTTCCAGATTATGGTATTAGAGAGGCTATACTTACTTAGCATTTGATGCATAGAGGACCAGCAAGTCTTAACGTCAAGGATGAGCATTAGAGCTATGCCTGGCTGCTCTGGATTACTATTGTACTTTGCTGCCTTGGCAAGCCATGCTTTTTGTTGCTGAGCAGATGACCAGACTGTATACACAATCTTTCGCAACTATAATCATGTAATTAGTAATGGATAGGCCAGGAATTGTGTTACAATACCCTTTCAACAGCATTTACTGAGTATGATGTATTGCTGCTATCTGTGAGAGTATTGTTGACGTTATCATTCTGGCTAGCTTCCAAATTATCGTAATCAGGATCCAGAGGAGCAGAAACAGACTCCTGATAGTTGCTTGTTCTACAATTAGTGCTCTTCAAAGCACCAATTGCATTGAGTAGCTTACATATAAGTAGTTAGTTTCAGAATATGATATAGTTTACAAGACATACCTTTAGTGCCACTAAGTGAATAGTATGAGGCATACACCTAAGATGTGCCTCCTCAGCAGAGAACAAGATCCCCTTAGCCGTCATGTGTGTCTCAATAGTCTCCATCATCGTGTCATTGTTGGAAGCATTATCAGACATGACAGTAACCAACTATAAAAATGTTAGGATTTATACGCAAAGAGAATAGAAACATACCTTTTCTTGGATATCATAAGATTCTAGCAGCCCCCAGACAATATCCCCTAAGTTTTTACCTGTATGCCTCCCAATAATCTCTTCAAAACCTATCAATCGTTCCTCTACATTTGTGTCAGTAAGGCGAAGTCTGATTATGTAAGCAAGATGCATACTTAACTGCCACTCATTAGTAATGTAATGAGCAACAACAGCAAGAAATGCAAAGCCATTACTAGATGTCCAAGCATCTAGTGACAATGCAATCTTTGAAGTCAATCCCTAAGAGTAATCAGTATAGAAGACAAGATATCTAATATAAGCTTACTTTAAAGAGCTGCTTCGTCTCCTGAAAGGTGTCTTGTCTCATATTAAGAATGCACAGCTGAATCGTCTTTGCAGTTGGGATCGGAAGGCTTGAATCCTGGTGGACAAGCCTAACAAATGCCTGGAAATACTTGCTCTCAACAACAGTGAATGGTTCATCATTGTGGACAATCCATTCAGCTAAAGTGTGCTCAAACTTTGCCTGATCCCATGGACCCTATTTGATTACATAAGCAAGGTGTCATGAACCTTCACATGATACATCATACATACCTGCTTTCCCTTTGCTTGGCGTGCAAAAGCTGCCATGATAGTATCATGAGAATTCATACCATCTGTCAACTCCTTCAGCTGCTGAGCTGTTGGAATGTTTGACCCATTGGCAATTGCAATTTCTTCATCAGTAGGCGGACGAGTCGAACTGTGCCTTTTGAGTGCCAAAAACAATGCATACATATCAGGAACCTTGGTGTGCAAGTATGTCTCAAGGCCTATTAAGATGTGACATCATCAGACACATAATGTTACATAGATTCAAGTACATACTGATTGTTGCACCCTTCATCTTCTTAGTGATTGTGAGGATATGATGGCTACCATGATAGCATTTGTAGTGCTTGTCTGTCGGCAATCCGGGCAATCCTTTCGAATTGGATCCCACCTGCATAAAAAAGAGAAGGATAGGCCTTGATACAGCCTGGAAGAATGATGAAAGGTAGGGAAACAAGAATAAAAGGAAAAGACTTACTTTATTATGCTGTGCTATCACCTGAGGGGTAATGTCAACGACATCATCGTCATTGTCATCACCACTAGCATTACCCGTGCCTTCTTTCTGCCTGTTTTGGCGCTTCTACAGGCAGTAATGTAAGATTATATAACAAAAAAAAGAATAGCAAGCTCACCTTCGTCCTTTTCTTGCTCTTTTTTGATCCAACCAGGCGAGGAAGTTGTTCGAGAAGGTCCTGAGTAATAGACAAAGGTTAGAGATATAATGAAATAAATGTAATGAACCATGTTTACTGCAGAATTTTCACTGCCTGACTCCTCTGTAGACTCTTCCTGAACCTCTGACGGGTCCACGTCCAATGACTCATGGTCTGAAGAATCAGCTAGAGGCTGGAAGCGGTTGCTGTTTGCTCGGGGGTCGGCATTCTGAAGAACCTTTGCTGAATGTATACAGCGTCTCTTTTCGGAAAGAATGTTGCTTGTATCAACTTCTTCGTCCTTCTTGCGCTTGCTTTGCTTGCGAGAGACAAGCTGGAAACCTGTAGCTTCAGCCATAGTGGTTGAGAGTGAGTCTGTAATACTCTAAGCACCATCAACGAAAAAATGGCGTACCGCTTAGCGTCAACCCGAGAGACTTCTTCTAAGGAAATGTGTCAGGTCCCACAGACTTGACTTTCTTTCTCGAATTGAAAAAGGGACATCTTAGGCTATCGGAGCATAACCTATCTGGAAAAGAAGTAGATCTCATCTTGAAAGCTCGTCTTGTATGCACTCACTAGCAGTAGAGAAACTTGTACAACATCACAGCAGGAAATGCCCTGGTTCATACTCAGCAAGCCGGGCCATACATTCCTAATTCTCCTAGGACAACTTTGTTACCTTAGTACAGAGTATCTTTGCATACCAAATTTGTACACACTCATCTACAGCTAATAGGCTAAGTCAATATGTCCAAGCTTATACAGAATAGACAGAAAATCTTATCTAGTCAATGCTGGACATCAAGTTTTGAGCCTGGATATTATACAGGGTGGGGGGGGGGAGGGAGGGGGGACTGGTAATGGTGGGGACGGCAAGTCGACGAAAGGTGGATCTGAGATTCTGAACTCAGATAACTGACTGATAACAGATAAGGGCCTGCTC